GTATAATGAACCTAGATTTCGAACACATATGATTATGATAGCTGAACGCAAGAAAATGTCGGGATTGAAAGGGAGAATGTTAGGATTTATGATTGAAAAATTCGCCTGAATTAAAAACTTAATTCTCTCTCAAAAAAATTACTTCTATTTTTTCATATGGATGAATGCACTGAAAAAGACTACAGAATAGTTAACGGAAAAACGTTTTTGATTCTATAATAAACGATAAAAGGATTTATGATTTTGGAACGGGACATAAATCCTTTCTTGCTCATATGACGAAAATAGTAAGCGATTTTTCTGTTCCTAGTTTTGAAAAAGAATTTCTTCAGTATCTCAAAAACGGAAAAAGGATCTATATCCCATTGTACATGCATAATTACACTCTTATTTTTTACAGTGTAGTTGAAAATACTCGTTGAAACTATTCAAATATTAAATAGTTGAATACCTGAAAAGTTTTCAATGATATACTCCAACTTTCAGGTTTGACACTGCTGTTGTTTCTTGAAAAGACTATATGCCCCCTGAGCTTCTCTACTAGCGAATGAAAACTGCATATCATTAGTTGTTGCCGTTCTTGACTTGTTCAATTATTAACCGACTACATTTAAGCTTGGTGCCGACTTTACTTTGATAATTTTTATGGCTTTTCTAACAAATATCAATGATTTAGCTAGTATTACAAAGTAAAATTTTGCAAATAACCATTCTTTTATATTAGAGTTTTGCAGTAAGCCTACAGGCGTTTTGTATTTTAATGCGTAGCATTCATTGCTTTTCCATTTTGTAGTGTCTTTCCTATATTTATATTTGTGTATCTGTACGGTTTCGTCAACAATTAAAATGTATTATTGAATACACATCTCAAACGATGGCGACGACCAGGAATTGCTAACAATCAAAGAGCATAAGCTTCAGGAGAAAATATAAACAATTTCACGAGATTGACATTTGTTATTCAGAAAAATAGCGTAAATTTTTTTTTCTAAGAGATTGTGCTGTGTTCTATTCAGTGTTATGTCTTGGACGTAATTATTTTTTTGTTCTTGTTTAATTGAAAACAAGAGTTTTTGCGTATTGTAAAAGATCATCCATGAATAAATTAATTGTATCTTATTCTTGTAAGATATAGAATTAGTTTGACCATACCTCACTTGAAAAGAACGCATGTACTCTTTAAGATATAATTAATGGTTATACAACTCTACAATGATTTTACTTTCTTGTTGCCTAGACAGAGCAAGTGTTTGACGTGGTATGACATATCTACAGAGAATCAAATTGTAATTTTATAGTAAATTACTAATATTATTTGTTTTAGTATATAACTAGTGGAATAAATGAGTATACTATTCGTTTTACCATGCATCATCTATTTCACAGCATCATTCTTGTTAACCCTTTTGAGTTCTTGATAAATGATGAATTTTCTCTAGTATTAATTGAATATAAGATGCTTATATTATACTTTTTGACACATTGACAAATAATTAACATGGACATGTCATGCAATAGTTTTAAAGTACATTAAAATTGCTGTTAGACTCTGTGTAAAGTTCCGATTGAATTCTAAAATACTCAGAGATATATTTATGTCAATATGATGGAAATATAAGAAGTATCAACAACTGATATCTCTCAAACAACAGTATGATTGAAGGTTCGTTGTCTGTGCATTTTGATGCATTAAGTAACTCATAACTACCATTCATTCCAAATAAAAAGAGACAGTCAGTGTTGGTCGAATATCTTCATAACGATAATAGCTAGAGACCTGCGGTTGTTTTTGTTCAATAGTCCTATATGGGGCAAGTAAATTGTGTGCTGGGAACAAAAATTTTTGAATGTATTTTCATGGAGATTGAGGGCTTTTTTTCGAAAAGAATCGAAAACTGAGCGTGTTAGAGAGCTGGATTTTGACCTCTAATTCTTGCAGACGATAGACTAGACTGTTGTCCTCATTCAAAAAAAAGCCGCGCCTTTCTAGGATATTCTGTTAGAAAACGAGAGCATTTCTCGTTAAACCCACAAAAAGCATTATTTTGCCTATGAGAACATGAAATACTTCATCCAGCGAACATTTCATGTGATTATTTCTGACTGTCCAAGCACAAGGGTTTGGTTAGAGACACTGTCAGGCACTGAAGTCCTTAAAATGATGTCCATTCTGATAGCCCCTTGTTCCACTATCACCTATAATTGCCTTTTTTCCGGCAGATAAATCATTCAGTTTTATTTTTCCAAAGTAAATATCATCTTCACTACTGGAGTCCATCGACAATTCTTCTTCATCTTCCGCAATAGTATCAATCATTTCAGAATTGATCGCTTCTTTCACATATTTGTCGACTTCTGGAAGTATCACTTCCGTATTGCGTGCATGAGGTTGTGGGTGAAAAGAAGACCGTTCCGAACATTCACCCAGTCACATCCTATATGGCATCAGCTGATTCTAATACTTTTGAATAATCTCTCTATCATATAATCTAGCTGCAATAAATACGATGCTAAAGGTTTTACTGGAAAATAGGCAATTATAGGTGACAGTGGAACAAGGAGGCTATCTGAATGGACATCATTTTGAGGACTTGAGTACCTAACAATGTCTCTAACGAAACTCTTATGCTTGGAAAGTCAGAAATAATCGTCTGGAATGCTCGCTGGATGAAGTATTTCACGTTCTCATAGGCAAAATAATGCTTTTTGTGGGTTTAACGAGAAATGCTCGCGTTTTCTAACAGAACATCCTAGAAAGGCACGGCTTTTTTGAATGAGGACAACAGTCTAGTCTATCGTCTGCAAGAATTATAGGTCAAAATCCAGCTCTCTAACACGCTCAGTTTTCGATTCTTTTCGAAAAAAAGCCCGCAAACTCCATGAAGATACGTTCAAAAATTTTTGTTTCCTGTACACAATTTACTTGCCCCATATAGGACTATTGAACACAAAAAAACCGCAGGTCTCTAGCTATTATCGTTATGAAGATATTCAACCAACACTGACCGGCTCTTTTTATTTGAAATGGATAGTAGTTTTGGATTAGCTTATGAATAAGTTTTCAAAATTTATAAACAATTCTCTATTCAACGACTAATATGTTAAAAAGACATATTTTGCCGAGATATTAGTTAAAACTGAAAGTGTTCCATGATGTCGTAGAATATGACAGAGTTCGATTAGCGGCATAAGATTATTTAGTCGAGTAGAAAAGGAAGTTACTGTCGGAAATTAAAAGTTAAGAGCAGACTAATAAGCTACTACGCGAACTCGTTTCCTTGCTCACCACTGTTATGACGCAAGTTCTGGCTCAGATTCTATTATCTTTCAATGCTCATTGTTCGAAATACTGTATGACGGGTAGTTGTTCACTTATGTGTTAAATAATGATATTTTTCAGTTTTTTCGTCTGTCAATGAGTTGATGAAACACGAATGTATTCGAAATAAACATTGCTTTATAAAAAATAATAAATTATTAAAAATATACTTCTTCTGAGCATTTTTCTTTTCGATGTACAAAATTAATCTTTGTCTTAAAATTCAAGCTTGACCTATTTTGTAGAACGATGTTCTGAAAATTTCATCGCGAATAACTCATTTACTTTCGATAAAATTGTTAGTATTGATCTAATTACATGCTGATGTTGCATTATGAATTAGAATTTGAGGCTTCTGCTTTGTATCTTGGCTGGAGAACTTAGATTGTGTAATGTAATGTAGAACGGCCTTTTTTTTAAGTGGTATTTCAACTAAAAATAGATTAATCAGACTACTCATATTTTTCTAGTCATTTCATTGGAGAAAGTTACTCTACATTTAGTGTCAAGAAATGCCAGGTAACTTTATAGCATAGAATTTTCGGAAATTCTAGCTGGGCTTCTTATTACAAATGTCCTCAACGCTGCGTTTCCGCTGAAGTATTTCATATCTCTGTGAGTTTTCGTAGAAGGGTTGGAACATTTTTTTGCGTAATATATACATAGATTAGCATAATATTGACTAACAAGACGACATTTTATCCTACTTTTGCTTTTTTCATGTCAAAAAGTTACAATCTAATCAAACATAAATCCACATTTGTAAACATTTTGAAAGTTCCTTGTTGTATAGAATGATATATTTTCAAAATACTACCAAGCCATTTGACACAAATAACGCCTTCGTCAAATATACAAATTTAACTTTTATATTATTCTTCATAAACAATGTTCTTGAATGAAATTTCAAAAGAAAATCGGTTAAAAATAGGACTTCTATTCAAAAAAAGTTTGGCATTTCATAAGACGTCATTTATTGTTGCCTCTACTGAAAAATAGAAATAATAAGATGCATAATTAGGAGTAATTTGTCAAGTTAATGAACACGCACAACATTTTATAAAATATCTTGATGAATATTTAGTTTTCTGCAATTTATTTAGTTACTGTGCCACATTATGCTGCATGTCTTGTCTTTGTCAGCTATTCACTATTGTGCTAATTTATAATTAGAAGATAATTCATTCTTTAATGAGTATTCCAGATAGCTGTTAATATTTAGTGCGTGCTTTTTTTTTGAAAATGTCCTGATCCTTAGACAATGAGAGATTAGATGTCCCTATTAATAAGTATCTATTTCGTTAGACACCAATTATAAAGTCATCTTATATAACTATCGTTCTAGAAAATCTTAAGAGACTTTTTCTTTTTCCAAAGTTATTATTGAAAGTTTTTCATTTACAATTCTATTTTGCAATTATTTTATTTTGTTGAGGCATTGAAATGAAAACGATTCATCTATGTAGAATCATCTTAGATAATATGTTAGCGTAATTGAAAAATTTGGTAAGATGATATTTAAAGAAAATTTCTCTGTTCAACAATAGTGTATGATTTTTAGCAAAGAGTTGACATATCTATTGCAGAAAACATAAGTAAAAAAAATTCCATAAATGCACTACTGCTTTAGCAAGTAAAGAAATAAAGATTATGGTTATCTATTTAATTAAATAGAGTCGAAATGTCTACACAAAGTATTTCAACACTAATTCAGGCTTCACAAATCATAGCTATATATGCAGGTTCAAGTATATTTATTGTTGGTATCATTGGTGGCTTACTCAATATCATTGTATTTCTTAGTCTACGAACTTTTCGTGAAAAATCCTCTGCATTTTATTTAACTGTTATGTCATTTGTAAATATTGGTAATTTAATGACAGGTCTACTTTCTCGAATATTTATCAGTGGATTTCAACTTGATTGGACATTAGTTTCACCTTTCTATTGTAAATTCAGATGGTATGGTCTTCAAGTTTTTGTTTTAACGTCTTTTACATGTACATGTTTGGCAGCAATTGATCAATATATGTCTACCTCTGTTCGTCTTCAATGGCGTCAATGGAGTAATATCAAAACAGCTCATGAATTGACAATAATATTTATTATTATTTGGCTTCTTCATGGAATTCTATATTTAATATATTTTGATTTAGTTCCATCGTCAACTACAGGTGGTATTACCTGTAATAGTGCTAATATTATTTTTCGACAATATCATATCTATGGTTATATTACTACCCTTGCATGTATTTTACCTCTTATAGTTACTAGTGTTTTCGGACTTTTAGCTCGTCACAATGTTAAAAATTTAGCACATCGAACAATACCACTTGTACAACATTATTTAGACAAACAACTAACTAAGATGGTTCTTAATCAACTTCTCTACAATGTTATTTTTACTTTACCATATACTATTTTGACAATTCTTACACTTTTTATGACTAATGTAAAAGATCCAGCTATTACTGCAAGGTTAGACTTTGCAAATGTTGTAACCATTCTTTTTTATTATCTGAGCTTTGCAGTAAGTCTACATCTATTTTGTATTTTAGTGATTAATATTAATTGCATTTTATATTGTATATAGTTGCCCTTCTATATTTATATGTGTGCATCTGTACGGTTTCGTCAACAACTAAAATATGTATTACTGGATGTGCATTTCAAACGATGGCGACGGCCAGGAATTGCTATAAATCAAATAGCACCAACTTCACGAGAAAATCCATAAAGAAATTAACGACATTGATAGTTGTTATTCAGAAAAACAGCGTAAATTTTATTGTGAGAAATTGTGTTGTGTTCTATTTAATGTCATATCTTAAACGTAATTATTCTATTTTTTTGTTGTTTGATTGAAAACAAGAGTTTTTGCGTATTGTAAAAGATCATCCATGAATAAATTAATTGTATTTTATTACTGTAAGATATAGAATTAGTTTGATCATATCTCACTCGAAAAGAACGCATATACTCTTTAAGATACGATTAATGATTATACAACTCTACAAAGATTTCATCTCCTCGTTCCCTCAATATAAGAAATTCTTCAAGTGGCCTATGAAATCTATAAAGTATCTTGTAGCAACTCGAGAATGAATCGTCAATATCATTTGTTATAATATGCAGCAATCGAAGCAAATGAGTATTATATGTCTTTTTCTCATGCATCGTCAATTTTACAAGATTATTCGTGTTAAATCTTTTGAGTTCTTGATAGATGATGAATTTTCTCTAGTATTAATTGAATATAAGATGCTTATATTATACTTTTTGACACATTGACAAATAATTAACATGGACATGTCATACAATAGTTTTAAAGTACATTAAAATTGCTGTTAGACTCTGTGTAAAGTTTCGATTGAATTCTAAAATACTCAAAGATATATTTATGTCAATATGATGGAAATATAAGAAGTATTAACAACTGATATATCTCAAATGTCAGTATGACTTAAGGTGTGCTGTCTGTGTATTCTGATGCACTAATTTGCATATAACTAATTTTGTCTTAGCTCCCAATGTGAAAGATTTGGATTACGAATCAGATTAAAAATCCATTATAATAGTGCTATTATAATGGATTTTTAATCTGATCTGAAATCCAAATTTTTTACATGGGGATCATCAATCGATTTTCAAAATTTATACACAATTGTTAGCTTAAAAATTAAAATGGTGAAAATGGTCATCGCCTGACTGAGGGAGGATGTAGCATCTCACCGCAATTGTGGAAAATTTTAATTTTTTTCCAGTAGAACAGAAATTTTTTTATTGCACTCTGTTGAAAGAAAAATATTCTCTCTCCGAAAAAAGTCATTGCACTCGCTAACTCAATATTGACTGCTTCGGGTCACGCCTAGTCGAAAAATATATTTTTCGAAAGTATTTATTAAAGCTACAAATAAACCACTATGTGGGGGAATATGACTTGGTGCTATCAGCAGTATAGGATTATTTGTTCAATTTAAAACAAGTGATAATATGTTGTGCTAATAATAGAGACAATATTCTAACGATGGAATGACGTATAAAACATTTTTCTACGAAGGATCAAGAATAATCGTGTATATCAAGGGGATTTTAGGTTTAATTTTTTATTATATACAATGTTCTATACGTTTTACATGATATGCTTGAATGTTTTCGATGAAAATGTCTTTGATTTTGTTTATGAATATTGCTGATAATTTGTTTTTGAAAAATGTCTGTCATTTATAGAAGTATTTCCATGACTCAGCCTGGATACGGCCAACAATTCTTGAAATGGAGTTTTGGTGACGTATGGAAATTTCGTTCATGTCTCATTTGAGCTTTGGAATTTTATTTTTTGTTTCTCGTTGTCTATTTTTCAGTTTGCGATAAACATGACTCAATTGTTCTTTATTGAATTAAAATATTTTGTTATTCTATTTTAATTGCGCTCACCAAGGAAAAAAAGAACTTGATCGAACAACACTGCTCGACAGTTGCATGCCATTGGTGTCGATAGCTGCTTTTTAATAAATCACACTAACACAACTAATCGAATTTTCGGAATTTACATTCACAGACAAAACGATAACGACTTTCACCGTAACAGAAATACAGTGGTCAGGCTAATATCTAGTTACAACATTTAATATGTCATGTTTACTTCATTCGTAATATTTATATTTCCTCCTTCATTTCTAACGTACTTCGTATCCGAACAATAGAATTGTATCAAAGTAAATAGTAAATGATATGTTGATAATACAGTTAAAATGACAAAAAAAAATCTATCTAACATTTTTTTTGTAAAAACTACAAGTTGACATGTGTTAAAAATAGGATTGAAAATTCAATGAAAAATAGCAATTCCACATTTATATAATTCATGCTGATGCAGAAGAATAATCATCCATCTCTATCTTATTCATCTAAGTTCTAAACAAATCTTATAATAAATCTATAGGTTGCATCTTATGGGTAGGAAAGACTTAGACATTTATATAAATGATCAAATAGATGCACCAGAGATAATTCATAAATTCATCAAAAACATCGAAATACTAGAAAATTTAACCTCCTTTTTCTTTAATCTCAAACGAAAAAATGTCATCGAAACAAAATAAATTCAAATTGTTAACTTATTCTAGCTTGTTTATGACCAGTTATGAGGCAAAGATTAAATAAATCTTGAAAAATGTTTTAGAAGAACAAATTTTTACTGTTCTAACCTTATTTAGTCAGTACTTCATCCAATATTATCTATAGAAAGGAAGTCAAAGAACTTATATTCCTTCGAGTTCGTAGTTCTTGTTTCCTGGTATAAACAAGTTTAGTTTTAGTTAACAATTCTACTGGTTCTTTTTTCATTGAAAAGGAAAACACGAATTGTGTCCTTTTTTTTTTAATCTTCCAACATTATTCATTCACGCATCATTTTCATAAGAAATTAATCAAATTATTAAAACACTATTATCTATTCTCGCTCAACCCAACGTTTTTCCGATATCTGATAGTCACATTATCATTGGTTATATTTCTAAAAATCATTGTACGTTTTGATCTTCGTTTGCTCGTTATCGAAATCTAAAAAAATGAACTAATTAAAGAACGAATAGGTTGTTTCCGTTAACAACATTATATAGTTATACAAAATCTACTCTACTCAAAATTTTCTCGAATTTGAGTCACATTTTCAATTATTCCATTTTAATATAGCATTTATCAAGATCAAATAAGAGAAAAATGAAAAAAAATCTATCTATATCATTAATATCTTTAGCTACTATGAATAACATTTTATACACTTCTTAATTTATGACATTGTTTCTGTCATTAAAATAGTATAATGCTCAGTTACAAAATTTTGAATGTTTCGTTACTAAACATAATCGATGTATAATGGTTTTGTATTCACGCACAAGCGTTCCAGGATTGAAGGGAGGAGAAAATGTACATGTCAACACTTGCGGTCTTTGCTTGTCATAGCTTTTATCAGATAAGTTTTGCTTACAGGGGCCCCCTCAGAAATCAACTTTGTTATTTTTCGTCAGATTTCAACCAAATATTTCAGAAAATATGAGTCTACGCTAGAATAGGCTATGGGTGAAATATCTCCCCCAAACTCCAGTATATTAATGAGTTACAGTCAATTTAGTGGTAAAAAGTACTCTGTACGTGGGCAGGATTTGCGCCGTGAGGACAGGGAGCTAACAGGCCGAGGTGGTGTCTAGGTTGTACAGTGTCCCTATGGGTAGGTCGTGACAGAGTCCGGTTTTTGAATTTTCCTTCCTTTGTGTTTTAAATATCTTTTTTTTTCAAAAATTCTTGAATTCATGACCAAAAAACTCACTGATCAAAATGAAAGATCTGCGGCTTTTATTTCAGCAAAAGAAAAATTCAAAAATCTGGCTCTGTCACGACCTAGCCCCACCTGTCTACTATACAATAAAAAAAAACCTATCACTTCTGTATCGAGTCATTATGAAGAAAAGCCTGCCCGCGTAAACGGTACTGTCGAAAAAACTGGTTTTGATAAAAACAAAAAATAAGTTTTTAAAAACCTTATTTTTTCAATATGGAGGTTCAGAAAAATCTATACAATATCCTTAAATCTCATCATAAAATCAATCAACTTTATTGCATTCCAGAGTAAACACATTGCTCTATCTAATGAGTTATAAATCACAAAATCGATAAATTTGACCAAAATTGACTTTTCTGAAGGGGAAGGGGGGCTTAAAAAGCTTTTCCCTTTATTGACATGTTAATCTAATTATAGATTGCTCTTATTTGTTTTACATTATAACTAAGTAGACAAGTTATAAACATCAGAATAAGTGAGAACAGGAATACACTGAAAAGAAATACGCAATAGGTTGCCGATTACTCATCTAGTTTGATGCAAAAAATGTCTGCAGAGTATATTAATCACATATTTATTTACTTTAAAAAAAGACATCAAATAGTTCTTCTCAGAAGCTAAAATTACACATGGGTGTATTTGAAAAGATTATGATGCACCAAGTTATATTTGGAAATCTATACAATTTCTCATCATTCAACGAATTGAGTTACCTAGTTGAATAAATTAATACAACACTAGCAACTTGTTATTTCATTATTTAATTCCTTCGCTAAGAATTGATTTAGTTTGCAAATATTAATCAATGCGATTATCACTGTTTCAATGTTTGCACAATGGATGTTCTCAATGACAACAATCAATTTTTGGTTCAACCAGCGCGCAGATTCCTACACACTTCAGTTATCTGTTGTTTTCATTGATTAGACTGTTCTATAAGCACGTCTATTCTGGTTCTTATCGAAAAGAATGAATGTTGACATGACATTCGCCGGTAAAAGCATTTACTTTTATTGCACTTTTGGCAAACAATCAACTCAGAAAAGAAAAGAGGATTAAAAAATAAATTAAAATATCCCTCAGAAAAGCCAATTAGCGTCAAAAAAATGAAACTGAAAATAAATGCATGGAATGATAGCCTTAGGTCTAATCGGAGATAAACACTATCTACTGTTCGACATCTTAGTTTTCTTAAATGGTCTTCGTCGCCTTCTGTTTGAAACATATACTTTTTTCAGAAAATGCAAGAAATCTTTTTCGTGTTTTTTTTCCTGTTCATATTGTTTTGATCGCATAATCCAGAATTCACTATGGATCTTCATTCTACGTATTTTATTTTTTTTTGTTTGATAGAGAATGCTAAGATGCAAGACATTGCAGAGCCCCTTTTTTAAATAAAGCTTTATGACTATTATATAAAAAATTACTTTTATGATTCGAACGCCATTGTTCTACATATTGAACTTTTCACTTTGTTTCTTCCTTTAAAAGTAACAATTTCAATAAAACAGAGCACTACAGTCTGACATGCTCTTTCCAATAAAACAGAATAATTATGTAGAACGAAAGTCCACAGAGAATTGTGGATTGACAGATAAGCTATGGTTTGCTCTTGCTCATTGAACATCTCCCTCGAACGTCATTACATAGGACTGAAAATCTCAATATAGTCTCTCCGCTCTGACCCCCAAGGTATTCTGAAGGTTTCATGAAATTTGAATACATCTGGGTCAAGATCAATTTTTGAAGGGCACTTAATAAGTTCATTATCATATAATAGAAAAGAAGAAGTAAATCAATCAACAATAAAATGAATCTATATTTTATTTTGACATCAGAGAAAATATTTTTCTTCAAAAATTGATCGAAACATCAATGTTGACTCATAAATTGTTTTAACTACAGTCAAGTGCTTCGAAAATAATTTTTACTATTTTATCATTTTTGAACATTATATTTAACTGTACTAGTATCTTAAATTAGTCTTCAACACTTGATAGAATACAATTCAAACGATATTTTATTGGCATCTTTATTTACTTTAGTTTAATGTATTAGAAAAAAGCAGCTATGAAAGTTCTGTTTCATGTCCTGCAACGCTGGTAAACTCTGCTTCTTGAGAAAGGTTAATGATTTTCAGAATAAGTATCGCTCTTAAAATGTGGTGAACATGTTTTATTTCTAGAAACATAAAAACAATAGTATTAAGATGCAAATTATTATATATCTATAAATAAAGTATAGCGTAGGATTAATTATCTTCGAGAATATATTGAAAAAGTGTTAAGTAAAAATAAACGCCAATGGCTGTAGCCTTAAGTTACTAGTAATTGTTAGATCTTAGCGAAGTAAACCCATTTTTCGTGAGGCGATAACTAATTACAGAAAGTATTCATGTGAAGAATATAAATAAAAAAGGAATATCCTATTTGTGCAATAAAGAAGCGACGCCGATGATTTTTTTGAAAAAGCTGTGCTTGCATTTCTAAGAGAGAATATAGCTTGATTCTTATGATTGTTGTCCATCCATCGAGTGAACATTTTCCCTCTATCTTATTTTGATTTTTAGAATACCGCCCAATCCATATTGTAAGTGCTAGATGGATCTTAAGTTATTTTATCAACGTTTTTCTAACCTAAGCATTGTCATCATAGGTTGATAAGTGCTATCGTTATTGTCAATTTATGACATGAACATTCTAAAAACATTTGAGCAATAGCATTGATACGTGTTTAATTGTTTATACAAGTGTGAGATAGTGTGTCGTTTCATCACGATTGATATTCATTTGAGTTTTCATGCATTCATTATTAATGCAAGCTTACATTGAATATATTCATGCTTCATGATTTGTTCAACAAATGAAATGCATTATCTGTTAATATTGTATATTTTGATCTAGTTTTTTTCTATCAATGAGAACTAATTGTGCAATACTTATGAAACCAAATGAATTGTTTTTCATTGGCTCATATTTAAAAAAGAAAGCATCAGAATTTAGAGTGTAAAACAAATAATTTACGACAAATCTTCTTTCCACAGTTAAGTCAAAGTTTCTATATACTTAATAATAATAATGAACATATTTACTCTAAAATGATAAATATAGAATTTCAAAATTTATTATTTATATTTTCATTCATATTCATTTTAGAGAATGACTACCAACGATAGCTTTAACGATTATGATGATACTGATGATGCATTCCATGAATCCGAAACACCCATACCTCGTCCAATTCGATTTTGGCTTTTATTATTATTTGATATTCCATCAATCATTTGTTCTTTATTTTTATTTTTTCATCTTTTCATTAACAAGAATTTACGATCACAATTAGTAAATCATGCTATGATTGTATTACTCATCATTGGATTAATCATACAATTAGTAGATATACCTTTTCATCTTATTTTTTTACGTTTTGGTATTGTACTACCATCAATACCTTTTATTTGTATTTTATGGTGGTTTATAGATTTAGGTCTATATAATGGATTTACTATCATTATGGCATGGAGTTCTATTCATCGTTATTTATTTATATTTCATGATCAAATATTTTTTCAAGGAAAGAAACGTTTTCTTTTCCATTATTTACCTCTAATCATTTTAATTCTTTATATATTGATATTTTATATAATTGTCATAATTTTTCCACCATGTATGCATACATTTGATTATACATTACCTGTTTGTAATGATTATCCATGTTATTTGGATGATTTTATTCTTGGTCTATGGGATTCTATTGTGAATAGTATTTTACCCACATTTATCATATGTATTTCTAGTATCACTATCATTATTCGTGTTAATTATCAAAAACGACGTGTTGTCCGTCAACGTAACCGATGGCGTAGACAACGTAAAATGGTAATTCAATTAATTTCTAGTTCTCTTCTATATCTTATTCCTAATATTCCATTGAATCTTTTAATGTTAGCGCATCTTTGTGGTTTACCAGATAGCGTAGGAGTTGAAGTTGAATTATACTTCGATTTTCTATGTTACTTTGTGATATTTCTATATCCTTTCATATGTCTTGGTTTTGTATCGGAGTTACGGAAGAAAATACAATGGAATAGGTTATTTTGGTTACAAAGACCACGACAAAATCCTACTGTCACACCTCAATAAACTCATGAACAATAAAAATATTAATATATCACCTTTGCTTTTAATGTTGTTTCGTATTTAATCACAAACAAAACATAATTTATGTTTGATTCAATGTTGTTTTCATTCACGAAAAAGATTTAATAAACTGTATTGATTTCTGACTACGAAGTAATCAGAATAATCGAATCTTTAACATTGATAAAAAATACATTCAGAGTTGGTTGATACTTTAATCACATGAGATATTTCAAATTCAGTATTGAGTTAGACTGACAGTTATCAAAATTATTTTTACGTAAAAACAATAGTGTGCTCTTCAATAGCGGTGCATCATTGTTTTGTATAAATAAGCAACTTATTTTTATAGATATACGATACGTATAACAGCAAGTCATATTATTTTCCCTGTATAATCAAGAAGATATTTGACTGTATCGCATTTTGTGAAAAAAATAGAGTTTGAATGTATCAAAATGATTGTAATAAAGTTTCTATTGCCGTCTCCATGTAAAAAAAATAGCTAGGGTGAAAATCAGACTAAAATTGATATAATCATACTCTTTTAATCGATTGTTCTTCATTCATTAACTGATTTTAATCAAAAATAGCTAAAAAAAAATCAAAACTCCATTGATTACTATTGTTAATTTCGATTACGACCGATTAAAATTATGCGAAAAGCATCGATTTTAATTGATTTTTCTTTATGATAAATAAAAAAACTCTTCACCTAATTGTCATTGGTTGGCATCAGTTACAATAAATTTTTCATTAAGTTGTAATTAATTAAAATGCAAATTAATCCGCATTACCAATGAAAGTGTGATTTTTTCGGCTATGTTCGATAAAGAGAATCAAAAAGAATTAAAACTCTGTTAAAAGGGTATGGTTATAATTGGTTTTTAATCATTCTTTAATTGGCTTTTATTTGATTTTAACCATAACTTTTTTAAATGGGTTTGATTGAGAGAAAAACAAGAATAATTCTATAGTTACAAGAAGAAATATTAAGTCTAATTCCCAAGTGAATAGAAGATTCACCAAGACCAATGAAAGATTTTCAGAGCTACAATTAACGATCATTTCAGCCTTCAAACAGAGTTTGAAAAGATATGCCACTGAAATATTACCACTATTTTGCAGTTTCAAAATCATTATGAATTACATCAAAAGTGTTGTTTTCGCATGGATTAAAAAGACACTTATAGCTGATATTCAATCATCGAAATCATTAGCGTGACAGGGTTATCCGAATTTTCAATTGTCAAGCTGTGTAAGCTAATAGAAAATGAGATGGAAAAGAACATATTGTTATGCCGTGAGAAATATTTTCGTTATACTATGCTATTTAGAAACCCACACTCATTATAATGAACTTGATTGCAATAATTTGCATGCCATTCTAACTTTTATTGACTTCGGTGCTTTGCTGATTAAGAGCCAAATTTGCTACGTAGTTGAAAAAGTGCTAATAATTGTTACAAAGATACCTCACCATAGAGAAATAACCATATCCATGAGATTTAATTTTCAAACTCTTTTTATTTTTAGTACTGTTTACCCCTATGACCATGTCGGTTCTAAAGCTACAGTTAGGTTCTAGAGCAATAGATACCGATAGTGAACAAAATTAAAAAAAATAACAGAGGCGTTAAGTAATAGTTACGGTATGAACAGAGAAAAAATCCCGATCAACAAAATAAGTATGCCGATATTATGTTTCCGAGAGATGAGTAACATGTATTTGTATACGTATTTTTTTCTTTCTATCTTCGCATCTTTGTCTCTTTTACATTTAGATTTCAATCTTGAATCCACGTTGTTTTTGTTTTTGCTTATCTTCTCTGAATCTCTTCTAATTCTTTGTTTCTCTCGTCTCTCCGTGTTACTCATTTCTCTTTTTTCAGCCTGATCCAGAATCGATTGCCTAGAAACTATCCTCCAGAAAGAAAGCAAAACAAAAATTGTTCTTCATTGCGTACCATTACAGACTCTGAAGTCCCATATGTTGACATCCATCTTAGCGCTGGATCCGGTACATCCATGTGTGGCACAAGTATTTTCGTTCTTTGAAGACGCTGAATTCGTCCTGATCCCTCTCACCAGCTGGACCTGTGCGCCTTCAGCTCTGATTGTCCCAAAACCAAGAATCCATTCCTAGACTTCGACAGTGTTTTTGTATATTTTTTCCAATAGGCATATCTCAGATCGTTTAGTGATTTTTTATTTAAAATAACCGACAAGACGAAATCCTTTCAGGATTAGCAACGGTATATTAGCATTAACAGGGTGCAAGATAAATGGTTAAGCTCACTACGCTGAGCATCGATAAATAAAAGGTAAAGTTCAAAAAACTATCTGAAACGAGATAGTACGATAACAGAAATGAATAATCGTTGCAACTGTGTAGAGGATGTATCACTGATTCTGAATGAATTCAAAACAGATGTTTGCTAGTGGACCTTTAGACGAGTCTTGCCAATAATATTTATCCAGTCCGGTTTCATCGGTAACCAATAATCCAAGTGTCTGAATGAGAAAATCCACTCGATCGAATGATCTTCATAACGGACCTGAGGTATCAGATTTAGATAAAGAACGGCTCGTGCCGAGAACAGTATTTGTCTTTTCCAGCAGTAAATTTGTTGTATTTCAAATATCGAGTAAATTTCAAGTTGCTCCGAGAACATTTCTTGTTGGCTTTCTAGATCTAGACATTGATCCATAAATGGAATTCCAATTTATCGCCAAGACGGTCGCTAGATCGTCTACGAAGAAAGAGGGCATTGTTTCAAGGGCATAGTTAGCCATAGCACTGTGATATGTGATGAGTAAGCTAAGTGTTAAATTAAAACCTTGAGGATCACCTCGTTTAATTGTAGCCCATCACAATCTTTTATCATGCTTCTCAATAATTGCCTCACAATCACTTAACCACATTCGAAGTCTGTGGATATAGGTTTGCAGGGTCTTCATTCTAATCAGTTTTCCAAAAAATCTGTGAAGTCACAATTAGTCAAAATTAAGTTAAAAGTCAACGAAGACTGTCGCAACAGGCGAACTATTCGACATGTATGATGAGATTTATTTGATGAGTAGTAACACACTTATTTAGAGTCGACGCTCTGTACGAAAGCCTGATTGTTTATCAAGCAGAATACATCTGTCTTTTAAAACTTGTAGAAAACGAATCGAGAAGTGAGATATGCTTTGTCTGATAAGGTACCCGTATAGCATTATTCTTAGCCAGTAATACTATTCTTACTTCTCTGAATTTTTTTAGCATGCAGTCTTTGAAAAAGAAATAATTATATAGATGAAATACAAAAGATCAGTTATTTCGAAGTAACTTTGAATTCTGGTTTTGTTGAGAAGTTTGAATTGATATTTGACATGATTTTATTTTCGTCTTTTATTTTATTTAGGTTTGATAATTTATAATTTACTAATAAAAATTAGAGACGTTTTATATCTTGTTGACATACTTCATCAGATATTAAATTATAGACAAATGACATAAAAATAAAATAGGAACAAACAAACTAAACTATTATATTTTGCTTTTCTTTTCTATTAGTCATTCCTTGATGGTGATACGGAACGTGAGAGAGTACTCGAAATAGCTAGATAAGGATCAAATTCTTGTCTGTATTACTATCAAAGACTGATTAACAGAAAAGATAAGAAAAAATAATAGTCTAGTTTGCTTGTTCTTATTTTATTTGTATGTTATTTGTCTTTAATTTAATCTTTGACGGAGAATCTCATCGAGAGACCAAGCATCACTAATTCTTTTTTAATAAATTATATAGTATCAATTCTTGATGAAATATAAAAGAGAAATAACTCATATCTAATTGAGAGAATTATATAAACAATATGTGGTAAGAGCTCAAGAATATCTAGCGTTTGTCGCTTCTTTCTCGTTCGAAACAAACTTAGTGCTTCTGGATAAGTCACCATTGGAATCTGGTACGACACTATATTCCACTGAACTGAGAGCGGATTGACATGTGAATGTGGACGTACCATAAACGGCGCCTCAAAAGAGTTTCATATTGATCCCCAGCCAAGTTTGTCATTATTTGCGAAATTTTTATCGTTCCACCAGTTGGTAATAAGAACTCCCTCAATTATTGAGGAGACAGTCCAAGAATCTCATTTTGTTTTACTAGTTTATTTTCGAATTAGTCTAGTGCTGTTATTTAGAGAAAATATTGTTTATTTTTACGCAAAAACGAGACATAAACACTTCATCCAATCGAAGAAAATAAGGAGCGTAACTTAAGTAAATCTCTTTTTCTTGAGATTAAGGCTACCTGGTCACAAAAAGTTAATATTTGTCAGAATTATCGAATCTATTATAAATCCGTTGGAAGATAACTCAAAAACTAATCTTTTGTAAATGACATGACTTTTCATTCGGCATTCCCTTTTGTGAAACAGTTCGGTTGATTTTTGCTATCAACTGCTTGAGAAATATGTTCCTTTTGAAAAAAGTAGGAAATCTTATTCGCTTTTTCTTTACTTATTTGTTTTCATCGAGCATCGCAGAATTCCCGAAATAGCTTCATTGTACTCAATTTCTCGTTCTTTTTTTGTATCAAAAAGCATTCCCAGATTGACAGCATGACAGAGTCTCTTCTTTTAAATTTAGCCTTGTTACTATTACATAAAACAGCACTGCTGTAATTAGAGCGTTAATTTGTGAGAGTTTATTCCGAGTGATCGAACTTTTCTCCTGGTAAAAGGTAAGAGTTGAAGACAAAGACCTCTTTCATACTCTGTATCTTAACATGCTTTTTCAAATAAAAATAAATTGAATATATAAAATGAGGACCTACAAAGAATTTTAAATTGCCAAATAAACTGTTTTCGAGTCTTGTTTATTGAACATCTTTCTCGAACGTATGATATAGAATGAAAAGATTACCATATCTTCTGCACTACAGTTCTAATATATCATACAAATTTCGTGAAATTTGAATTTATCTAGCTTATGATGGATTTTTACAGTGGTAGAGTCTTAAGATATTCATGATCATTTGATAGAAAAGAACTTATTCAACAAAAAATACAATAAATCTGTGTGTCTTTACATCAGAGAAAATAGTTTTTGAAAAATTTCCTTAGTGCTCAATCGATCTTGGAAAATTTCTCTCAACATCGATTTAGACTCAGAATTTACTTCAACTTCAGTCAAATGCTTCACGTAAAATTTTTATTATTCTATCATCCTTGAATATTACGTTATACTGTAATAGTATCTTAAATTAATCTCCGACAATTGATAGAATGCAATTCAAGCATGTGCAGCGCTGATAACCTGTTCTGTTTGACAAAAGTTCATGAGTTTCACAATACGTCTCTCTCTTTAAATATCATGTGCATTTTTTATTTCTATAAACATAAAAATAATAGTATTACGATGCAAAGCATTATATAACTATAAATAAAGTATGCTATAGAACTCATTATTTTCCAGGACATTTTGAAAAAAGCATGAAGTAAAAATAGACGTCAATGTCTACGGCCTTTCATTGCAAGAAGTTGCGAAATCTTTGCGAAGTAAACTCATTTTATGTCAGGCTATAACTAATTAGAGGAAGCGTTCATGTGAAGAATGAAGATATGAAATCAATGCTATATTTGTAAAAGAATGAAAACGATAAGAATAACTAGTAGAGAAACTCAGGTTCTCGTCCGTAACGTAAGACACAACAATTTGAATCTTATGATTGTTGTCAATCTAACGAGTGAACGTTTCCACTGTGTCTTACTTTTATTTTTCAAATATCCTATGATTTCCTTTTACACATTTATAACATGTGTTCAGTGTTCTTATTAACACTTTTTTTATCAAAATATTCTCATGGCAGATTGATACGTGTTTTTCTTGTTTTTGACTTAATGTATGAACATTCTAAAAATATTTAAGCGATAGAATTGATGCATGTTTAATTGTTCATTCAAGTCTGAGAAAGTATGTCGTTGCATCACGATTGATATTCATTTGATTTTTCATGCATTCATTATTAATACAAATTTACATTGAATAGATTCATGCTTTATTCATTATTTAACATATGAAGTTCATTATCTGTTAATATTGCATCTCGTGATCTAGTTTTATTCTATCAACGAGTATTAATTATACTATAATTATGATAGCTTTCGTCTAGATTTTTTTTACAACTCATACTAAAAAAAAGATAATTTAAAGCTTGAATAAACGGACAATTTAAGATGGATGTCATTTCCAAAGTTATATTTTCATTCATATTCATTTCAGAGAATGACTAGCAACAATAGCTTTAACGGTAATGATGATAATGATGATGCATTTCATGAATCCGAAACACCCATACCTCGTCCAATTCGATTTTGGCTTTTATTATTATTTGATATTCCATCAATCATTTGTTCTTTGTTTTTACTTTTTCATCTTTTCATTAACAAGAATTTACGATCACAATTAGTAAATCATGCTATGATTGTATTACTCATCATTGGATTAATCAT